AATAATGAATTGAGACTGCCAACATATTGTTAATCACACAGATTTCGTGAATACTTTATTTCGTGAACAAACCTATTTTCAATACACAATTTTGTGAACAGAAATCTAGAAACCACTTTAAATTCGCAAAATGATTGTCTATTAGATATATATTGGTAACCAAATCAGCCTGGATGTCGTCAAGAGTTATTTTCGTACAAATAATGGGGAGGAATTTAAATACGTGATTGACTCTTTTTGCATGTTAACGCAAAAATAAATCGCATGAAAAATAGAAGTGATCTACAGAAAACAATGAAAAAAAACTCCCCGATGAAAGAAATCATTATCGGCATCACTTTTTTCAAGAGATGAAGCAATGAACAATTTAGAATTTGTCACTAATGCAAGTGTTTACCGATCTACATAACTGTCCATCAAACTGCCTGGTATTGTCATTACGCCTGAGGATGTGAATATATCTAAGGATTATCAAGAGCTTCTTCAGCTATTTATATCTCATTGAAACAAGGATTATAATTACATTTATGGTAATAATTTAATACTAATTAGGTAACCAGCTATTATAAAATGAGCTATTTACTTTATAATACCGTAATTAATCAACGTCATCAAATTAAAGTTTATGATGATTAACACACAAGGTTTTACTTAGCATTTATCTTTATTAATAACAAATTAAACATCATGAATAGTCAAGCTATTGTGGATATTGCGGTTCACAACATCAACAATCAGTAGTGTTTTTTTTTTTTTTTTCGCTAATAAAACTTAAAATCAGTTACACCCCATAATTTACATAATTACAGGATATCAGAATGTAATCTCTTCCTCAAATACAGTGAGCTTCACACACACAATGAACACTGGGACTCTGTTTTTGTCTCCTAAACTGCCTTGTCACTTTGGTCACTGCCCCAGGTGAACATCAGGAAAAATCAGAATGATACAGCACGTTTTATTCTGTCATTCGCGCTACACTGATTCTTGTAAAACCGTATCTCTACCACTGCACACTTCCTGTATTTGCCTCCGTTTATATGCGTATTAAAACACTCCAACAGTATGATGGGTAATCAAAGGTTTTATATTCTCCCTAAAGAAGTACTTATGAAAATGAAATGTATACGGATTACGATATAAAAATGCCATTCAAAATGAGGGCAGAAAGGTCATTTAACTATAAAGACAATTCAAAGTAAGAAGTTTTAATTATCTTTTAATAGATCTGAAAGAAGTGACACTTTCACATTTTTGTGATCTTAAAAAGCCTATCAAGTTTACACCTGACTTAAGTTTACACCTGACTAAATGCTGCTATCAGAAGTGTACAGGTGAGGGATGTTTCTACCTGTCTACATGTTTATCTAATTTCAAATCTCCGCTGCAATTGGAGAGTTCCCACATTACTCTGTCAAGTGGAACTGTAAACTAAAGTATTAGTCACACATATTAATTTATACAGAAATTTTGCATAACATGATATGAACAATACTTGGGCCTTCTGCATGATGTTCTGTGAGGTAGCTACCACCTACATACAGAGAGTCTACCTCAAAATGACCCTGGCTATTCATGGGGTAATGAATTCAGCAACAAACAAACATACCACATATGAAAGACTTTATCACACTTATCAATATATTTGGATGCCAAGTCACATGTTAATCTGCTGTCACAAATATTACATACAGTTCACACAAACTCTGATAGAATATGTATATATAAGTGTGACTGATCTGTTTTACACATGTAATTGTTAGGATTTTTTACCTAACAGCTGTGTTCACTGATCCCACATGAAGGATACCCTAGAAACACTAATATAAACAGGTTGTCAGATTATAGAATCTAGATTTATTTACATATAAACTAACAAACCTGACATTAACATGAAGTTTTTCTCTCAAAGACTGTTAAACCATAACATCTGTCATAATAAAACATCTGTATGCATCAAAGTTCCTACTGAAATAATGATGTTTTAATTTTTCTTCCACATTTTTTCCTGAAGTTTCTAGGTATCACATAATGTATAGTGTAACTATAGTGACTACAGTAACTACAGAGACTGTGTAACTATTGTAACCTTGTAACTATAGTAACAAAACTACAAAGCCTACAGTAACAGTGTACCTACTGTAACCATGTAACTATAGTGACAGAATAACTATAGCTACATTGTAGCTCTAATATCATACTCTGGCCCTCAGAATCCTAACAGTGGGAGTGTTGATATACAAAACTAAAAAAACACCTCAAAATCCCTACATGTAACCATCACATTGTTACAATGACAACAATTATTGGGGCTCATAATCACTGTCCCTATAACTTCATCAAAGCTTTTTAAGGTTGCAGCACAATTGAAATCATACAGGACTACATCGTCTTCACATCTTATGTAATCTAATCTAATTAAACTATAGATGCAATACCTCACAGTCCCCACAAGTCAAGGTGATAGTGAAACAATATATAGAGACAGTAATTAAGACATAAACTTCCCCACAAGTCAAGGTGACAGTGAAACAATATATAGAGACAGTATTTAAGACATAAACTTCCCCACAAGTCAAGGTGACAGTGAAACAATATATAGAGACAGTAATTAAGACATAAACTTCCCCACAAGTCATGGTGACAGTGAAACAATATACAGAGACAGTAATTAAGACATAAACTTCCCCACAAGTCACAGTGACAGTGAAACAATATACAGAGACAGTAATTAAGACATAAACTTCCCCACAAGTCATGGTGACAGTGAAACAATATACAGAGACAGTAATTAAGACATAAACTTCCCCACAAGTCATGGTGACAGTGAAACAATATACAGAGACAGTAATTAAGACATAAACTTCCCCACAAGTCAAGGTGACAGTCAAACAATATTCAGAGACAGTAATTAAGACATAAACTTCCCCACAAGTCAAGGTGACAGTGAAACAATATACAGAGACAGTAATTAAGACATAAACTTCCCCACAAGTCAAGGTGACAGTCAAAAAATATTCAGAGACAGTAATTAAGACATAAACTTCCCCACAAGTCACAGTCACAGTGAAACAATATATAGAGACAGTAATTAAGACATAAACTTCCCCACAAGTCAAGGTGACAGTCAAACAATATATAGAGACAGTAATTAAGGACACAAACTTCCCCACAAGTCAAGGTGACAGTGAAACAATATACAGAGACAGTAATTAAGACATAAACTTCCCCACAAGTCAAGATGACAGTCAAACAATATTCAGAGACAGTAATTAAGACATAAACTTCCCCACAAGTCAAGGTGACAGTCAAACAATATTCAGAGACAGTAATTAAGACATAAACTTCCCCACAAGTCACAGTCACAGTGAAACAATATATAGAGACAGTAATTAAGACATAAACCTCCCCACAAGTCAAGATGACAGTGAAACAATATACAGAGACAGTAATTAAGACATAAACTTCCCCACAAGTCAAGGTGACAGCGAAACAATATCAATATCAAATCAAAGTGGTGGTGTAACATTAAAAACACAGGGTTTCATGTTACCCATATGAAAAAGAACAGCTCAGTAATTCCAAAGCATTTGAACAATTCTCAAAACCAATATTTCCAGAAGTTAAAATTTTATTTGATATCTTACAACACATCATCTCTATTTTCTCCAACACAATTAGAATTACCTCAGCGTACTAAACATCTACGTAATATACACAGTGAGTCACCCTGAATAGCGAAGATGACATTTTTTAAAACTGTTTTCAAGAACAACTGCCTTAAATTCTGCAGCACATACACAGAAGAGACCTATCATACAAGCACTTGTAAACAGGGCAGGATGCACTATCTGATAAGTGTTTACCTGACTGATACTATTTACCTGTACTCTCATTCAACCTAATGACATCCGACTATAAACCCTACCCTACAAATATAACAAGAGTAGGTAACCTGTTGAACTCCATGGTAGCTATCTGCCACAAATATGACTGATCCATGACCACTAGTATTTTGAATGATAGCCGTTTCACTATAAATTTAAGATAATCACTGCATGATATCTGTATTCAACTTCTTCTTCGATGGTACAGATGGTGATATTTAAAAAAAAAAATCAAATAACACAATTCAAATATTTTTCACATGATTTTTTTGCCATGATGAATATATCACAGATAACCTAACCTTATAATGAAATATCAATACATGAATCATGTTCAGTTGTTCAAAAGTGATTACCTGGGTAGGTAGTTTTTTACCTGTGATATCTGATTATCATCTTACCTGCAATTACCGGTATAACTGCAATTATTGCATAACATATTGAGAAGTAATTACAAGTAAAGTTTACCTGTGATTATCTTATCTAGAATTACTTGAGTATATATTTACCTGTAATTATCTAGGTATTTGTTTACCTGTGTGATAACCTAGTTCTTTAAAAGCAGTCATTATATGATTAAATGCCTAGAAAGAGAGATCTTTGTGATATTCCTTTAAGTGAATATGATTTTTACCTGTAATTACCTGAATATGCATTTAACTATAGCTACATGGGTATTTACTTTTCTGTAATTACCTGAGCATGCATCTATGTGTAACTAGCTGGGTATATATTTTCTGTAATTACCTGAAAATTATTTATCAGTAATTAAAGGAATATGTATTAATCTGTGATATCCTGATCATTTTTTCTTACCCAAGATTACCTTTAGTTGTCTTGCTGTTTATCTTTCTGTGATTACCTGAATCGGTATTTATCTGTAATTACCCAGGTAAATATTTTTCTATAATTACCTAAATCAGTAATTACACATGTATTTATTTCTCTGTAATTACCTGAATTTGTGTATATCTGTTATCACCTAGGTATATATTTTTCTGTATTTACATGAAAATGTATTTACATGTAATTAATTTTCTGTGATTACCGGACTATGTATTTACCTGCCATTACCTGGATATTAACCAATTTTTAACCAGATTATATATTTACCTGCAAGTTTGAGGTACCATGAAGGCCAAGTTGATGCCTCCCAGGATGGAGGCACCACATAATCTGCAACGTCCGAGGGGAAGTATCCAGGACGAGACAGATTACACGGACAGTTCACAAGGTTACACCACATAGGGGGGAGGGGGTTTGTAGAGGGGCGCCATAAGGGCAGGGGCAGCAATGAGCTGTGACCCAGTCCAGGCAGTCCCGGGGGATAGAGTCCTGAACCCCCACCTAGAAGACTACTCCTCATGTCTGTGAATGTGGCCAGGTGGGACTCGCCCAGCACTGACATCCCTGTCATAGAGTCCACACAGGTACGAACAGTACAGGTAGGTAAAGAAACTTGTCCCCACTCAGACACTACCCCATCCAGTCTTCTATATCCCACACAAATTACACAATGTTTAAAACAGACGGATTCCTGTCTAGTCCTGGTGAATCCACACTGGGCATATAAACAAAACACATGCAGACTGATGTATACAGTAGATACACTGATGTACCGCACCACTGTGTATAGTAGATAACTCTAACACACTACCCTCCACTCACAAAACGTAACAATCCCTGTCACTCAATCTTGTGCTGGCACCGCCTCCAACATTTCTCATTGGTTCAACCTCTAACTTTGACCTTTCTCAAATCAACAGGTAAATAGGACATTCATAAACTGACATACTTGATCGGTTCACTATCTGACTACTAGTATGAGTCTAGGGCGTAGTGATCCAGGTCTAACACTGATGGGGTCAGGGGTTGGGGGTTACAAGAGAAGAGGTCATATCTCTGAAGGGTTTTCCTACAGATTTACAGAGGTATACACCCCTTGTAAAACACTGGCCCATTGTGTTGGCCAGGTATGATTACTACCTGTGTCAAAGAGCAGGTATACTCTGTTTCCTATTACTGTTGGCTTCATTCAGGACATACAGTAGCCTGCTCTGTGTTCTCACACTAACACTAGTGACCTTACATCTACAGCAGGCAAAACTGCCATTAATCTTAATGTAACACATATATATCCTGTATTATGACAACTTCAATACTGAACGGATGGATATGTGCAGATTATGTAACATAATCTCTCATCTATCAGTACATGCATTTAAAAAACACTTACATTCAGTGAGAGTAACGTTTTTAATATAACAAAGATTTTAATCAGATTAAAATTTCCATATACTAATACCAGAATTTGGAACCACTTCCAACTCTTACAGAGTCAGACAGTGTCTTTTTTGACCAAGGCCCAAAACCATGCATGTAGAGAAATTGTCATACCTGGTAATTCAGGATTTATACTCATCTTTTTTGACAAACATATACAGCTACCTGTATTCTATGAGAAACTGCCTTTCCTGACTAATTCAGGTGATCTTTGACAAACTGCCTTACCTGACTAATTCAGGTGATCTTTGACAAATTGCCTTACCTGACTAATTCAGGTGATCTTTGACAAACTGCCTTACCTGACTAATTCAGGTGATCTTTGACAAACTGCCTTACCTGACTAATTCAGGTGATCTTTGACAAACTGCCCTACCTGACTAATTCAGGTGATCTTTGACAAACTGCCTTACCTGACTAATTCAGGTGATCTTTGACAAACTGCCCTACCTGACTAATTCAGGTGATCTTTGACAAACTGCCTTTCCTGACTAATTCAGGTGATCTTTGACAAACTGCCTTACCTGACTAATTCAGGTGATCTTTGACAAACTGCCTTTCCTGACTAATTCAGGTGATCTTTGACAAACTGCCTTACCTGACTAATTCAGGTGATCTTTGACAAACTGCCTTACCTGACTAATTCAGGTGATCTTTGACAAACTGCCTTACCTGACTAATTCAGGTGATCTTTGACAAACTGCCTTTCCTGACTAATTCAGGTGATCTTTGACAAACTGCCTTACCTGACTAATTCAGGTGATCTTTGACAAGAAGCATAATGTGTCAGTCAAAAGTGACTGAAGATTCCATTACAACCTGTTTTGTTACACAACTATGAAAAAGTAAGAAAAAAAATAAGAAAAAGAAAAAACTAATTTTTCATGTTTGTTCTTTAACACTACATACATGTGTCTGTTAACAAGTTCACCTGATGCTAGACATTCATGTGTCTGTTAACAAGTTCACCTGATGCTAGACATACATGTGTCTGTTAACAAGCTCACCTGATGCTAGACATACATGTGTCTGTTAACAAGCTCACCTGATGCTAGACATACATGTGTCTGTTAACAAGCTCACCTGATGCTAGACATACATGTGTCTGTTAACAAGCTCACCTGATGCTAGACATACATGTGCTTGTTAACAAGCTCACCTATTGCCCAGTGTGACAGTGTTAACAACCCAGTGAGACAGTGTGAACAGCCCAGTGTGACAGTGTTAACAGTCCAGTGTGACAGTGTTAACAGTCCAGTGTGGCAGTGTTAACAGCCCAGTGTGACAGTGTTAACAGTCCAGTGTGACAGGGTTAACAGCCCAGTGTGGCAGTGTTAACAGCCCAGTGTGACAGTGTTAACAGCCTAGTGTGACAGAGTTAACAGCCCAGTGTGACAGTGTTAACAGCCCAGTGTGACAGTGTTAACAACCCAGCGTGACAGTGTTAACAGCCCAGCGTGACAGTGTTAACAGTCCAGTGTGACAGTGTTAACAACCCAGTGTGACATAATTAACAATTCAGTGTGACAGTGTTAACGGCCCAGTGTGGCAGTGTTAACAACCCAGTGTGACAGTGTTAACAGTCCAGTGTGACAGTATTAACAACCCAGTGTGACAGTGTTAACAGCCCAGTGTGACAGTGTTAACAGTCCAGTGTGACAGGGTTAACAGCCCAGTGTGGCAGTGTTAACAGCCCAGTGTTACAGTGTTAACAACCCAGTGTGACAGTATTAACAGTCCAGTGTGACAGTGTTAACAGCCCAGTGTGACAGTGTTAACGGCCCAGTGTGACAGTATTAACAGCCCAGTGTGACAGTGTTAACAGCCCAGTGTGACATAATTAACAATTCAGTGTGACAGTATTAACAGCCCAGTGTGACAGTATTAACAGCCCAGTGTGACAGTATTAACAACCCAGTGTGACAGTGTTTACAGTCCAGTGTGACAGTGTTAACAGCCCAGTGTGGCAGTATTAACAACCCAGTGACAGTGTTTACAGTCCAGTGTGACAGTGTTAACAGCCCAGCGTGACAGTGTTAACAGTCCAGTGTGACAGTGTTAACAGCCCAGCGTGACAGTGTTAACAGTCCAGTGTGACAGTGTTAACAGCCCAGCGTGACAGTGTTAACAGTCCAGTGTGACAGTGTTAACAACCCAGTGTGACAGTGTTAACAGCCCAGTGTGACATAATTAACAATTCAGTGTGACAGTGTTAACGGCCCAGTGTGGCAGTGTTAACGGCCCAGTGTGACAGTATTAACGGCCCAGTGTGACAGTATTAACAGCCCAGTGTGACAGTATTAACAGCCCAGTGTGACAGTATTAACAACCCAGTGTGACAGTATTAACAGCCCAGTGTGACAGTATTAACAGCCCAGTGTGACAGTATTAACAGCCCAGTGTGACAGTATTAACAGCCCAGTGTGACAGTATTAACAGCCCAGTGTGACAGTGTTAACAGCCCAGTGTGACAGTGTTAACGGCCCAGTGTGACAGTATTAACAGCCCAGTGTGACAGTGTTAACAGCCCAGTGTGACAGTGTGACAGTATTAACAGCCCAGTGTGACAGTATTAACAGCCCAGTGTGACAGTATTAACAACCCAGTGTGAACAGCCCAGTGTGACAGTATTAACAACCCTGTGAGACAGTGTTAACAGCCCAGTGTGACAGTATTAACAGCCCAGTGTGACAGTGTTAACAGCCCAGTGTGACAGTGTTAACAGCCCAGTGTGACATAATTAACAATTCAGTGTGACAGTGTTAACGGCCCAGTGTGGCAGTGTTAACGGCCCAGTGTGACAGTATTAACGGCCCAGTGTGACAGTATTAACAGCCCAGTGTGACAGTGTTAACAGCCCAGTGTGACAGTGTTAACGGCCCAGTGTGACAGTATTAACAGCCCAGTGTGACAGTATTAACAACCCTGTGAGACAACATCCTTCTGAGATTATTGTTAGATGTCAGAGGAAGTAATCCATTACAACAGCTGTCCCTCATTACAAACATCACTACAAATTGTATTTACATATTTAAGTTATTTATCAGTCAAATTGATGTATTAATCAAAGATTTTAATTTCTCAAAAATAACACCTACAGTAAGTCAGCTTGAGTACTCCCGTAATGTATGTGTCCATCATGAATATTCAGACAGATTGTGTCACTGTAATATGATAGACTGTAGAAAATTTCTAGGTGGCAATGAAACATTACGTTGACTTTTTCGAAATTTTCTGACAACTCTCATTTAACAAAGGCCCTCTGCAGTCATTAAGATTGTTTAGCTAATTCCATGACTAGATTTCGAAACTAAATAAACAATTACAATTATGTCTGGAAATCTAGGTTTTTTAAGCTCTGCAGGTCAATGTCTTTTTATATTGACCAACTCTGTCTCTGTAACTGGCTATAGAGACCAACTCTAGTTCATAATACCTTTCTATAGTGACCAATTCTGTCTCTGTCTGGCTATAGAGACCAACTCTAGTTCATTATACCTTTCTATAGTGACCAACTCTGTCTCTGTCTGGCTATAGAGACCAACTCTAGTTCATTATACCTTTCTATAGTGACCAATTCTGTCCCTGTAACTGGCTATAGAGACCAACTCTAGTTCATAATACCTTTCTATAGTGACCAATTCTGTCTCTGTCTGGCTATAGAGACCAACTCTAGTTCATTATACCTTTCTATAGTGACCAACTCTGTCTCTGTCTGGCTATAGAGACCAACTCTAGTTCATTATACCTTTCTATAGTGACCAATTCTGTCTCTGTCTGGCTATAGAGACCAACTCTAGTTCATTATACCTTTCTATAGTGACCAACTCTGTCTCTGTCTGGCTATAGAGACCAACTCTAGTTCATTATACCTTTCTATAGTGACCAATTCTGTCTCTGTAACTGGCTATAGAGACCAACTCTAGTTCATTATACCTTTCTATAGTGACCAATTCTGTCCCTGTCTGGCTATAGAGACCAACTCTAGTTCATTATACCTTTCTAGAGTGACCAACTCTGTCTCTGTAACTGGCTATAGAGACCAACTCTAGTGCATTATACCTTTCCAATTCTGATGCTCAAAGTATCTCTGTAATGTCCAACTGAACTCTTTTGCTCTAGGCCTTTCTATAGTGACTAACAATGGTGCTTTAGGCCTCTCTATAACAACCAATTCTGTAGGTCTCTGTATGGTGACCAAAGCTGGCGATTTGGGCCTTTAATAATGACTACATAGTATTACAATGATACAGTTTAAGAAATCGCAACT